CTCTCAAATAAATGAATAAAATCTTTAAAAAAAAAAAAAAATAAAGACACGAGTCAGCAGATTAGGACCCACCCTAATTCAGTATGACTTCATCTTAACTTGATTACATCTGCAAAGACCCTATTTCCAAATAAATTCACACTCACGAGGTTCCAGGGGTTAGAACTTCAACATATCCTTTAGGGGAACACAATTCAGCCCATAACATCCCCTATAATCAATTTTCCACACAACAGCCATAATGATCTTCACGAATGTGCATCAGGCCCTATCATTCTCCTTCCTATCACCCTCCTGTGTCGTCCTCTTCCTGCCTCTCAAACATACATCTCTAGCCACATGGGCCTTCCTTCTGTCTGTCCAACACACCACTCATCCCTGCCTCAGGACCTCTGCCTGGAATTCTGGTGTGACTTCTTCCTCATCATTTCAAGTCACCACTCAAGTGTTACTTCCTAACACAAGTTTACTCTGATCATCTACTTAAGCAGCACATTCCATAGGTATTCTCTTTCATATAACCCGAGTTTCTAAGCAGCATTTGCCAGTACCAGAAAGTATCTTATTTATTTGTTATTTAAGTAACCCCCCTTATTTGAACATAAGCTCTACTGAGCCAGATTCCATTATTATAGCCCCAGAGACTAAACCAGCGCCTTACAAGTATTTTTCATTTTTATTTACTCAAATATGTCTTTTTCTTTGATGATACAAGGATTTCCTATTTTACTCACAAAGATTAATTATACCCTTAAATAAGTTTTCTTGTATTTTTTCTCTTTTTTGTGGGTGATTAGTTAAATCTTTAATCCATTTGGAATTAATCTTTGTATACTTGAGAAACAGGAGTCACGTCAGATGATTCCAATGCAAAAAGTCTGCAATAACTCTGACCTATTGGATAAAGCTCAAACACTTCTTCAGAACATATGCAACGTTCCCTGAACTGACTGCCTCTGTCCCTCCATCGTACCAATCTCCTGCTGATGATTGCATCCTGTCCTGTCCTCTGACTACACCAAAAAGTCCTAATGGATCATCAAGAAGAATTATGCTGCAAATGCACTTCTCCATCTGCCTGAACTCCTATAAATCCTTAAAACCCCAGTTCTAATGTCACCTCTCTTGGAAAGCCTTTCCTGTTGAACCCTAGAGTTCCTCACTTCCTTCTTTATACCTCCACTTTTACATCCCTCTACTCTATAATATACAGTACCTGCTTCATAAATATATAAAGTATTTAGACTAGTGTCTAGCACACAATAAATGCTAAGTAAATGTTAACTACTATTTTATTACCACAATAGGTTGCAATTATTTGTGTAATCTACCTTGCTAGACCAAGAGGGACAGAGGGCAGAGACCCATTTATTTGCCATTTTACCAAACCCACTGGTCTGGCACATATTAAGCACTAATAAGTACTAAACAAATTAATAAACAACACCTCAATGCTAGACCAAAGTAATTTTCTTTGAAACTGTGGATTCCTTATATTTAAAAAAAAAAAAAAGAAAAAGAAGAAAGAAACTTTTAAGATGAAAAATAAGCCTGCCCTTCCCGCTTTTTGATTTAGTTCAAATTCGAGGAGTTAGGGGAGAGTTCAGCTTTAAGCACATCCAGAAAGACAATTCTAGGTGCTCTATGACTACCACTGTATAATCCATTATACTGGAAATGAAAACAATGGCATTTTTAAAAGGGAGAGGGAAATTTAAAACTTTTTGTCTTATTTTGAACGCAGTCAGACGTGTCTTAACCTCAGGTGAATTCATAACCTCACATTCGCCTGGCCCCGAACCTCACATAAGGAAACTTATCAGCTTCTCTGATAAAACAATCCGATAACGTCAACTCTGGGATGAAGAAGCCGCACGGGTGGAAACGCAGGGGCTGCCCTCTCCAAGAGGAGTCTCGGTCCATACCAACCTCGGAGAAACACAGCATTCTTACCCTGGGGTACGATAGGATTCCTCAGCTCGGGTATCCCCTAAGCTAGCGCTGCAGAGAATGAGCACACCGCCCTGCGTTAGTCAGTGGCTGCAAGGAACTGAGATGACCACAACCCACGGGAGAAGAGGCGGAGAGAAGCTTCAAGCGGGAAAAATGAAGTGTACAGATGCTACGTGCGGAGAAAAGGAGAAAGAAAAGCAGCTGGAGGGTAGCTAAGTCAGGAACACCGCCACTTCTCACTTAGCGCCACCTCGAATTTTGGCATCTAATGACTACACCCGCCGAGTTCACGCTCTTCTTCCCGCTCCATTGCGGGCCAAGCCACCGCCCACCCGCTGGAGAGCCGCGCGGGTGGCAGGAGGGAGCGACCGCCGCCTCCCGTACTCACCGGTTCTCGGTGCCGTCACTTCTGCGCGGAAAGGCCTGGTCTGAGGCCAGGTCTTCGGAGTCAGCTCCCGGGAGGCCGCGACGTTCGATTTCTCCCCTCCCCCCCTCCACCACGAGACCGCCAACCGGCGTCCCGGCTTCCGTAGGCGGACGGCTTGGTGGCCCCGGATGTTGATATGCCGCCTGCCCCGGAAACAGTGGCGGGAGTCCCAAGGGGGCGGAGGTGGCGTTGCCCGGCTCTCCGGAAGGAGACGTGGCGGCAGTTGGGCCCCGGGCTGCCTGGGTGCTTAGTAGTCCCGCCGCCTCCTCCTCCTCCTCCCCCTCCTCTCCTCTATGGGCAGAGGAGGTTGTGGCGGTGGCTGGAGAAATCGGCAGCGGAGGATGGAGGAAGGAGGAGGCGGCGCGCGTAGTCTGGTCCCAGGCGGGCCGGTGTTATTGGTCCTCTGCGGCCTCCTAGAGGCGTCCGGTGGCGGCCGAGCGCTCCCCCAGCTCAGCGATGACATCCCTTTCCGAGTCAACTGGCCCGGCACCGAGTTCTCTCTGGTCAGTGCCCTCGCGAATCCTGTAGCCATCTCTCTCTCCCTCCTAGCACTAGGGTTTGGCCCCTTCCCTCGGTACCTGCGCTTTTCTCCTCCAGAACCACGTCGGCAGGCGAATGCCTCCTTTCCCTAATCCAAAGGTTCATTTACCTCGCATTCATTCATTCATACAGCAAGTGTTTAGCGAACACATTATGTGGTTGTGCCCTCCATGCTAAGCATTGAGGATCCAGCGGTCACCTGCTCTCCGCCTTTTAAATTTGTCTCGTTAGACATTGCTTACCAATACTCCCACCCCGTGGAAGAAGCTTTCTTAGAATCACGTCAGGCACAGGTATTTATCTTCTCTTTAGAGAGTCAGCTGCAGGTCTTCCTCCACCAGCCGCCTTCTCTCCTTCAGTATTACCACCCTACCCACACAGCCGGTTGTACTGCAGATAGGAGTTCCCTCTCGCATACTAGTCATTTCTGTCTTGTATACACACACGTGTATATGTACATACTCACAGCTCTTTCTCCTTCAGAGTTGTTTCCGAGAGGGTTATTTGGCCTTTGAGATGTTAATGACATTCTATTCAGGATAACCTTTAGGGTGCTGATATTACGACTGTTATTTAAAACCCCAGAACATGAGATTCTGTGATCAGTTTTCCTAGAGTGATGAACATTTTTATAACTTCACAGTAATGAAAATTTGCGATCCTCTGTCTTTAGGAAGTACTCTGCTGAAAAGTCTTCCTACCACTGTAGGCCAATAAAAACTGTGCACTTAAGACGCTTACCGTGTAGTAGTTAATTTATTTATTTCAAACTGAAGTCTTGGAAAATACAAAAGCTTTTTTAAAATTCTTATTCCAGTTACCTGTAGTCATTCCATTTGGGATGACTCTTTTGTTCTATTACCATATTGTTCTATTACTACTTCATTGAAACAAGAATAAGTGATAGCATGATGTCAAAGCAAGATTTAGCAGGACAACAGATGTTATGGTTACCACAACAGCTTTCTATTTACAAATGTTAGTTTTTGCAAATATTTCACACTTGTTTATTTCTCTGTTCCTCTTCTTTTCAATTCTCCTATTCTTGTAGTTCAGTGGTACTCAACATTATCTAAGTAAATATTTCTCTGAGAAGCCAGGTTTATCTTTGTATGAATGCCATGAAATATTGTTATATTAAAATACTTAGAGGGCATCTGGGTGGCTCAGTCGGTTAAGCAGCTTCTTCGGCTGGGGTCATGATCCCAGAATTCTGGGATGAAGTCCCGAGTCAGGCTCCCTGGTTAGTGGGCAGTCTGCTTCTCTCTCTCCCTCTGCCCCTCCTCA